ACACTTCTCTGATAATTAGTGATGTTGAGCATCTTTTCATGTGCCAGTTGGCGATCTGTATATCTTCTTTGAAGAAATGTCTATTTAGGTGTTCTGCCCACTTTTTGATTGGGTTGTTTGTTTATTTGTTGTTATTGAGTTGTATGAGCTGCTTGTATATTTTGGACATTTAGCCATTTTGTGTTTATCTTTGTATATGGTATGAGGGAGTGTTCTAACTTCATTGATTTACCTGTGGTTGTCCTGCTTTCCCAACATCACTTGCTGAAGACACCGTCTTTTCTCCGTTGTATATTCTTGCCTCCTTTGTTGAAGATTAATTGACCATAGGTGTGTGGGTTTATTTTTGGGCTCTCTATTCTGTTCCATTGATCCATATGTCTGTTTTTTGTGTCAATACCATGATGTTTTGTTTACTGTAACTTATCCCTTGATACACCTGAATGTGTCTTTGTTTATTGCTTTTTGTTTTCATTTCTTTTTATTTTCCTGTTGTAGTACGTACAAATTGGCTGGAATATACAGAGGCATGAATATACATAGGTAGGACTATAACTTGTATAAAATTTCACTTGTAAAGCTCAGAAAGAGAGTCAGTAACCCCCAAACCTGTATCCTCGCCAGCTTCCCCCTTCTGGGGAATTCTCTCTGGGGCATATGGCACCTACAGAGTATGCAGAGCTTCCGTGTGACTGAGGGAAAAGATAATTTTTTAACCTGGACTCGGGAATCTTAAATAGCTTTGTCCGCTGACTTGGTGCACCCCACTCTAAATGTGAAAGGAAGTTCATGGCCATAAGCAGGTGGTCATCCAAGGGGTCAATACATTTACTTTAGTCCTCAGGGAGACTTTTCAGCATGGCTCTACTTCATCACTCTGTAGAACACACTTACACATTATTTGTTGAGAGGGAGCTCAGTCCATACAGCTCTCGCAAATAAAAAGATAATATACTTTCCTCCTCACTCTCCAGCCCAGACTGTGATTGTCACCGCCGCATCTTTCTTCAGCCTTTATCTCACAGCTCTGCAGTCGTTTGTTACATGTAGGCCAAACTGTAGACCATGAATTACAGAAGTGCAGACACCAAGTTCTATCCACTTGTGTATCTCCAGCTTTTGACACAGCATCTGGCATACACTTGGTTTCCAATGTTTATTAGGAGAATGAAGGCTAGCACAAATGAACACCTTTCTTTCAACGAGAGTTAATTGTGACAGTCATGCATTCAGCTACAGTATGAAAGTATCTCTCTAAACCACGATTGTCAAGACACCAAAGCTTTAAGGATAGCAGAGATATGCCCTTCACAGCAACAGGGTCTTATTTGGTCCAGATAACTCTATACTGCAGCAGAGAGTCCATCAATTATTATCTCCCACTGGTGTAGAACCTAAGTTGGGTTTGTTCATAGACACTGATTTTGAACTCCTAATCTTTGGATTTCACATTTTTCCCCTGTGACACACACTGTCCAACCTCCACTCCCTCCTGGCTCAGTTTGCTCTTCTTAGATGAGTATTAGCTCCCTATCTTACAGGGAAGACAGGAATAACTTTATTTTATTTTCATTACTGCCCTATTAGTGCATTAAACTTATAAGAACCTTGCCCCACTACAGAATTGACATTGAACTCTATTCCTTAAATGAGTCACTCCATGTACATCGAGTCACAGGCATGTTCTAGAACACACCCAGCCACACTGCCTTACTTTTACTTCCTCTCCTGGGGCAAATAGCATCTCCTCACAGTCTGTGACAGTGATCTCAAACTTTGCATCAGAATCACTTGAAAGGCTGAATCACAGGTTTCTGGGCCCCACGTTCAAAACTGCTGATTTAGTAGTTCCGGGTAAAGCCCAGCAATGGCATTTCTGTGAACTCTTGGGTGATACGATGCTATTGGTTTGCAGGATAGATTTTGGAGCCATTGGTCTAAGAATTAAATGAGGAAGCTATGATTTCTCAAAGATGTGGACATCTGGGGATCAAAAAACAGTCTCAAGAGCCCAGGAGCCCTCTATAAAATTTTTAAATTTTGTGTCTCTATTTTGATAGTTATCTGAAATAAATTAATATAAACTTACTCTAAAACCCCTAGATAACCACCTTACTGCTGACTGTTGCTATGTAATGTCGGTGCCCGTATCTACATTTATGATTATAATCACATCAACACCAAGCAGTATGACTTTAGTGGCAGCTAATAGCACTGGCTAATGGGATAAGAGCAGAGGTGGTCTAAATGCACAAATGATGTATTCTTATTCAGTGAAGACCAAAAGGAATTATAAATGCTATTTGAATAGAGATTTGGCAGTAATTTGAATAGAGAAATGTGCTTGCGAAAAAGAACTGGCACAGTTGAACAATTCATGGCACAAGAAAGTATACCCGTGTCAAATTCAAAAGAACTCAGGAGCAGTCAGTACAACAGTCTCTTCATGAATGGTGCCTTAGTTTCAGGAAAATGTCAGTTGTCACATAAACTCAATATTATTGTTATATATGATGTGAAAGTGAGGTATTGTTTGAATCCAGGTAAATGAGTGAATAGATGCCTTTTCACTGAGATATTTTGGCACAACTAAGAAACAGCCAGAATCTATAATCTTTTCAGTCTTATCCATCTTATCATAATCTTATCAGTTAACCTGCGGATAAATGGGAGGTCAACCTTTGCAGAACAAAGGTAGATCAAAACCACTAATTATACAAACAGGAAGTTTACTATTTCCATCTTAAATTCAAATACAAGGGAAGTTTAATTTTTTTTAATTCTATGAGGTGACAAAAACTAATGACATGGAATAGAATTTAAAGAAAGACAAAAAGGAAATGTGAATCAGAAACAGATTAGGATGGAAAATAGGAGAAAAATGGAGAAGAGTGAGAAAATGACCAAAAAAAAGGAAGACAAACAAAACAAAGTCAGTGGAAATATATCTGGAAATAAATAATATATCTCTGGAAAGGTCAAAGACATATTATGCCTTATATTTGATGAGAATATAAAATTTAATTATTATGACAAGTTTTGCAGAAGAAACCCATGAATCTTTTTCTTCCTGCTATGCCAGAATCATTCATCAAAGTTAACTATATATAAACTTAATTCAAACAAACTTAAAAACCAACAATGTCAAACTGAGTAAACAAAAATCCTTATCTTAAAAGAGCAGATATCTTTAAACAAGTTAACAATTCACAAATGTTGTTGTGACCTTACTATGTCCCAGCAATGGTGCCAGACATCAGACATACAACAGTAAACAGAATATGCATAATCCCTACTTTAATGGAGTTCAAAGTATTGAGAGGGTTACAGGCAACAAGTACTGAGAAGTTATAATACGTCAGAAATTACTTAGATGGGAGAAACACAAGAAGCCATGAAAACATTAATGGAGACACTTGTCCGGATGTAGGGGGTCAGAAACGCTTACACTAGGAAGCAGGAAAGGAAAGACTCAGCTGCAAGTCTGAGACCTGTTTCCTTCCTCTCGGGGATGCAAGTGAGGGCTTCCACGGTCGAGTCCCTTTGTAAATGTGAGACCTAATGTTGTTTTCTAGTGGGGACGGGAGGATTCATTTCTAAGAGATGGTCCAACTATGGTCTGTCTAGTTTGCTCCTTGTAACTAGACGTGGAATTTATACATCACTAGAAAATGTCACTTAAGCTCTGCATGAATGGAGTATATAAAGATGGTTCCATAAATGAAAAGGCTCCCTTCGTGCGTATCATTCAAGCACCGCTGAGAGCGTCACACGTCCTAGGATGCATCTAACGTGAGCAGAACAGGCTTGGGTCGTGTTTAGGGGCTCAGACTTTTCCATGTTTCCTTTGAATGTCATAAGTGCCTGTGTGCTCTGAATTCAACAATTCAGACGGTTCAATCCTCAGTGCTATCTCAGAAATTACACACTGTGACTTAAGAAATACGTAGGAGTTAGCCAGATGAAATCAAGGCGAGGGGTAGGGAGGGGGATGGACAAGGGGTGACAGAAAAGTGGGTTAAAGCAGAGGAATCAGTTCGTGAAAGAGCACATTTAGGAGTGGTGAGTGAGGTTGACTAGAGCAGACTGAAGGGTGCAGGAAGTGGGGGCCCAATCCTAGAAGGCCCTGCGGGCCTTGTGAAGAGTCTATAAATTATTCCCAGAGCGACAGGATACAATTGAAGTGGTTAAAAGACATAAATGACAGGATCTGGTGGATTTTTAGAAAGAGGACTCTATAATACAGGGAAGGCATTAGAAGAAGGCAGGAAGACAAGATAAGACGCTATTAAAATAATAATAACATATCTAGACTCAACACTCCAATTAAAAGATGAAGACTGTCACTTCAAATAATTCACCCGACAGGAATGCAGGCCGTGAGCGCACGTGAAATTTACAAGTATGATTTTAGAAGTGTTGTTTTCAATAGCCAGCAACACTGGAAACAACTTAAATATCCATCAACAATGAAATTGATAAACGTCCTGTGGGATATACTCACCATTTGGAACATTCAGCAATGAAAATGAACAAACTGCTGCTATTCACAGCAATAGGAGTAACTCTCATAGATGTAACTTTGAGCTAAACATGTCAGACACAAACAATGCCTCCTCCATGATTTCATTTACATAAAATTTGAAAACTGGCAAAATTAGTCTGTAGTATTAGAGGTTGGATCAGTGGTTAACTTTGAAGGTGGAATTGTCCCTGGGAGGGGGCTGTGTTCCTGGGGTGCTAGTCATGTTCTATTTCTTGATATAGGTGGTGGGACCACTGATAATCATTTTGTAATAAGCCAATAAGCAAAAGTATGCTTTTTTTTAACTCTTCTGTATGTTTGTTGTGGTTCAATGTCAAAATTGCTTAAAACAAGACAAAAAACATAGACCATAAAGCTGAGGTTTATTGCCCTCGAAGAGAGAAGATATAGCAATTCAGTAAGAAAAAAAGTGTCAAATTTGGGAATTTCTGTTCCAAAATAGTCTTGAAAGCAGTGGCTTTCCATTACAAGAGACAGGCAATTGAAAGAGCATATAGTTTGTATGTGGCTTGGTTTTTCTGTGGGAAGTTGCTGATGGACTTGAGGAAATTCTAAAAGTATGTCTCTGTTGATTAAAAGCAACACCTGGAAAAATCAAAACAGCAAGCAGGGAAGAACATGTGATGGCACAAGAACAGCTTTCTTAACATCCTAACAGGCGATTAAAGCCTCTTACGGCTATGGAGGAAGAGGGGATTCGGCAAGAACTCAAAAAGTAAAGCAAAAGAGTTAGGTGTGCCTGCCAGACACCCAAGCCTCTGCAGCACTCCTCCACCGCATCCTGCTCTCAGGTGGCAGACCAGTTTAGAGGAATCCTAGGGTGCAAGGGATACAGCTTCCCTGCCCAGGGTTTAGCACAAAGAGACTGCAAA